GAGAGAGAGAGAGAGAGAGAGAGAGAGAGAGAGAGAGAGAGAGAGAGAGAGAGAGGGAGAGAGAGAGAGAGAGAGAGAAATGTTTGATATTGGAAGAATACAGCTACTCTTCATGTTTTGGAGGGTATGGATGTCTGACATATGCCTAAATTGATAGATTAGTAACTTGATGGCATTCATTTTACAATTTTACATCACATGTGTTCTTATATACAAGCTCTGAAATTACAATGTAAAGTTGTACGTTAGAAAGCTCATATCAGTGATATTCTCGCTGGTAAAAATGAAATTATTACTAATAAACCACCGTAATATAAAGTCAGCAGAGATATTCGTGATATCGAGCCGAAATGTTCATGATGTTATCAGGAGTGAATAATAATATATCTATTATTATTCACTTTTGATGTTATGTCTTATCCGCTAAGTGATCATAGGTCACTGTGGAAAACTATAAATTAGCAATTAATTGCTGCAGACCATGAAAAGCGTTTACAGGGTCGAGTTCTATGAATAGCATTAATTTACAAAACGGCTCATGTATGTTTCGAAGCTTCCGTAACTCCTGAAGTGGGAACTTGACAGTTTAAATAATTTGCGGTCAGGCCTTGCTTCGTACGGCATAGTGCTAGTCTCGTGCGTGCAATACGTTTGATTTATGCACGTCAGACGTTTAAGAGTATTAACGAATCTGTTTATGATAATATTTTTACGGTTTCAGGCGGACGCAAAACAGGCTACGCGTAATTGAAGTTCAAGAATGTACGGAAAGAAACAGGCGGAGGCCCGGAAGCTTTCTTTTTAAATTGTGATATTGAACAGTTGCAATGTACTTTTTACTGTGTTTCAAATGTTAAAATTTCATTTTAAAACTCGCCAGCTTACACCATTTTCCATGTAGCATTTAAAAAAAATTCGAGGGAGGCCACTTGGATCCCACAATGGGGAGGGGGAAACCCCTCACACAGTCTCCCTTTTTACGGTGCTTCGCGCCTTCGCGACTGGGCTTCAACATTAGTCAATCCCTGGCGACGGCCCTGTTAACTTATAACAGTTACGTATAGTCGATCGTCATGGCAATAATCGTAGCTAATCGTAATCTAATATCGCACATAACACACGTGAACAAATATCTACAATAGAATGTCTGCTGCACGAAACAATAAGATTTTAACACGTCTGCGCATAAATCGTTTAGCTCATGATAGTGATGATTATGGCGTGTGATAATTTTGTTAAATACCTACAACGCATGTATACGCATCGCTGTGTCATAGCGTCGTCGTAGCTTCTAACGATTCAATAATTTTGACCTCATTTCATTCAAGCTTAAATTGTGACACTACCCAAGCTCCATACGATTTTCAGCACAGAAGCCTGAGTTCCTATGAGTGGTTTTTTATTCTATGCTTGCTTTTTATCACTCGCTCGGAAGTGCAATTGATTTCCAAGCGAACTCGCCTTTTTGAGAAAAGTAGTGCGCGTACTTGGGGGCAAAATTCTAAAATATTGAACGTAATTAATATGCCGGACGGCTATAAATGTCAAGTAGTTCGAACGTATTACGTGTTGATATTATACTTACCTGCCTACATGTTAAATGCATATAAGGAGGAGTATATATTATACATCTTCGAGGACATCAATATCACGGTGTGGAGATTAATAAACGCGTAGCGTCTATATTAAATGTATGGTTTGTCTTTTTAAAGTCGTCGAATCTTCTTCAGTTTATAGGAAACGCGGTGTTTTATCTCTAAAAATAAGATGACACTTTTTTCCGATTTTTGAGTTTCAGTAATCTAAAGGGTCTATATGCGCAGCTTCCGGGTAATCCCCACAACAGCTGCTTCTGCATGCTATTCCTTGAAACGTGACGTCTGCATCACCGCCAGGTCGTTGATTCTCGGCGCGGATTTCTACAATGTCAGGAGGCGTGGAAACGAATACAGGACGCGTGTAGATATAACGATGTATGGATGCGGTGAACTAATTGAGCTTATTATCGATGTGGGTCGCTTAAATTGTCCTCGTTACTAAATTCTGATGTTTTTCATGCGGTTCCGAGGGTGCTGCGCGCGCAACTCGCACACGATTGTTCGAACGCACATGCACGCACATGCACGCACACATATACGCGCACGGACACACACGCGCACTTTCAGGGATATGGATTCACACTGTCGGCGACAGAGTGTTGAATGGATCAGCATTGAACATGGCTGTGCAGCTTTGAGCATCTATTCAATTAAGACTAAAGTTCTTCTTGCCATATGCTGTGAGGGTTCTTATAGTGAAGCCCGTCTGTGTGCACTATATATTACCTCAATATTTAATCATGTTTACGACAGCGAATATAACGGCATACTTGATTTGTTTGATTATATAAATATGCCAAATTTAGCATACTTAGAAAAATGTATATATATATATTATTTTTTTATATAGTACCATAATTGTAGAAATTAAAACGAAGAAAGTGAGCACTTATTCAGACTGCTATACAATATTAAGGCATTTTGATTGCGCATATTGCACGTTAACCTTTCCCATTCCACTTTCTCAGCGTATACGCGTATATCGGTATGCGTGCACGGCGCCCGTGTGTATTGATACAGGTTGCTGATGGCGAAAATGTGGATGTTGTGCCCACGATGAGATTCACGATATGTGAAGCGTCTACTATATATATGCGTGTGATGAGTGCTGATTTATAGATATGTTCGCTAAATTAGTCCTTACATTTCATTTGGTGTAATTATATAGACTGAAGCGTCGCCTTTATGGGTTTTTCAAAATTGTTGTTATCCTGAATGTCATATTCTCATGACGGATGAAATATCGCTTTTAACTCATCAAATTGCTTCAGTGAAGCTCTAAATCACGAGGGACTCCATCACATACCAATCGAAACGTGCAAATCCATAATTTTCTACGTAATCCCGTGTGGCGAACACGGCATGCACCTTTTTGGTCGATACGTTGGTCCAATAGTACCTATATAAGCGTGCTCGAGCCAGCTGATAATAAATATTCGCATATTTAATATTTATGTGTGCGTGTTTAATATTATATACTGGATCTGTTTGTGTCGAGTACGTTCGTATTAGAAATTGAAATCGCACAACGTTTGCGGATAAGATCAAAACGTTTGAGAGGTTTATTGAAAAAGTACGGCTTATCTCTTTATAATAAGCGGCGAAAATAAACCAGGAGAGACGTGGGAGTGGAGGCACAATTTGATGAGCCTTGGAACTATCGAAATCGACGATGGTAAAACCAGTAATATGTGCTGACATATAGCATTATTATCTTTCTAGATTCCTTTGCAATAATTCTCCACGTGTCGCATCCATTTTCAAAATCACGATATCGGGAACGAACTGAGGTGCACAGGTTTCTATCACCGACTCTATAGTTGTCCACGCGATCGCATAATGCGGAAAATAATAAACGATGTGGATAGTTTAATTTTTAAAATCTCCAACCGCTTTTAATTCATTATTCAGTTGTGAGGATTAGTTGCAGATGCTAAATTTAACGTTTAAGCAAGAGCGCACATGTTTCAATTGCTCTAAATAGAGAGGCAACCTTTGCGAAAGTCGTCTGACGGCACTTATTATGTGTTCAGTATTTCCTGTGCATAGAGACGAAATATCTGAATTATTCGGATCATTGGCTACAGTGTTTCGGAGTGACGCGTAAACACACGTATGTATAAATATTTATGAATATTATCGCTACACTTATTGCATACACACATACTATAAGAAGATGGAAAATATCAAAATTTAACGTTTTCTCAAATTTAGTAGATTTCGTGGACGATGTGCTGAGAGTGATTTCCCACCACGTCGTAGTTGTCCCCGAGATTTCTCCAGCGGGATTCCTCTAATTTAATCGCATTGTGACGATGATGACAATTGTCATCAGGCAATGCTCGGTTGTGACGAAAGCGTGGCTAGCAGTCGAAAGTTGCTGTATGATTCTCGGGAGAAATCACGAGTCATCTTCACGGAGTAAAAAAGGTCATCGCGCGCGAAGGACTCGGATTCCACGCGGTATTCAGTCCATCGATGCTTCCATGACTAGAACAAAACAGCAGTGCGACAGAGCGTTAGCACAGACCGCCGGACGTGCACATGAATACGGCTCAACCATGAAGCACACGTTCATTGTCGTACGCCGAGAAGTCTATCTATCTATCTATTTCTTTCTCTATCAATCTCTCTCTTTTTCTATCTATCTATCTATCTATCTATCTATCTATCTATCTATCTATCTATCTATCTATCTATCTGTCCGTCCGTCCGTCCGTCCGTCCGTCCATTCATCTATCCATCCATACATCCATCCATCCATCCATCCATCCATCTATCTACCCATCTATCTATGCATGCGTATATTATGTCAATATCATTTCATAACGATATTATCGTAACGTTAGGCTATTATAGCTAGTTATGACTTATTAGATTACATTAGAATTCTTTTTCGGCGTTAAACTGTCGCGCAATTCCCGACGGCCCCGAATTAAAGAAGAATGTACGATCGCGGCGTCACACGAGAGACGATCAATATCAATAGAATGCGGACGGCTGGGACTTATACGATAATATGACAAGATCACCCTTTCCGGTCTACGCTGATAATTACCACTTCATTAGCAGATCAATGCCATTACGCTCCATTGTCGGTGTTAAATTAATTACAAACAATATCTGCTCATTACATAAAAGAGGCTGGAAGCGTTCGTGGCGTGGCTAGTCGATGGAGATCGCGCGAGTTTCCTTTGATATCAGCCGGAAAGACTAAAGTGAGCGAATCAACAACTCCCTAATTGTCAGCCGGCTCTGAAGACCAAAACGCCATTCCGTGTTTTATTTTTCTCAGATATGCTTGCATATTTATGACATGATTATACGCCCATCGATCGTCCATCGAATATTTCGGCACATATCGAAGCAATAAATATTTGAGCTGGTTATTGTTGCTCATCGGTTGTCGTTAACGTTGCGAATGCGTCCATTCAAAGTTTTATCTGACATGTGAATCTATTTTCCACAACTGGTTACTGACTGTGGCGCAGCAAATTCTTGCATTGCGCCACTGCTACAACTACCACTGCCCGCGCGCGATGGCCGAATCCTGTATACCACAAGGGAGTTTTTGATAACGATTACCGCGTGAATTTACTATCAACCAAATAAACAAGCGCCTAACATTCCCATAGTACTTCGTTCGCTATCTGCACACCACCCGTCAACGAAGAATTGCAGACGCGATTATTTCATCAGACGATCTTTGGCGTTCGTTTTCCTAGTTAGTACGTGCACGCACCAAATTGAAAGAGAGTCACCTATACTCACCCAACATGGTTGCGTTGTGAGCCTTCCGAAACGTTACTTGCGAGATGCTCTTTCGGTGGATGCCGTGCAGTCTGCAATTCGCTTTGCCTCCGTCTGCAAAGAAATATGGTTAACATGTAATATATGTATATAACTATAATGTATTCAACGGTCAGATTCTGAGAGAGGAACAAGTGGCGAGTATAAGCTCAAGCAGATATAACACAAGAAATCTAAAAAATAAAAAGGAATCCGTAAAGAATAGAAGAAGCGCCAGAAAACTAGTACTAACAACTGCAGGTGAGGTACGATAAAGTCAGAAGAATAAATGGGTCAAGATAATTTTCTATTGCAGGTCCGTGAATGTAGATTCGTTCGTTTGCTATAATTATGACGTGCATTCATTGCCAGTATCATGTCTTTATTAAATACTGTTATCGGCACTGGGAATGTGATAATCCGCTATGATAAGGTACCTTACGCAATAGAATCTGTTCATGAGCAGATGTTACACTCTAGGGCATGCGCCACTTATTTGAGAGCGGGAGCGAGAGATACAGACAGACAGACAGACAGATAGACAGACATGCAGACAGACTTACCGACCGACAGACAGACAGACAGACAGACAGACAGACAGACATGCGGATGAACGGACGGACGGACGGACGGACGGACGGACGGACGGACGGACGGACGGACGAATGAACGGATAAACGGACAGACTGAGAGACAGACGGACAGACGGAGAGACAGAGGGACAGACAGGCGGACAGACGGGAGGTAGGTAGGTAAGTAAGTGAGTATGTAGGTAGGTAGGTAGGTAGGTGGGTAAGTAGGCAGGTGTGTAAGTGGGTTGGAGGTAGGTAAATAGGTGTGTATAGATAAGAGATAGTGATTGGCTAATCGCGACACACGCGAACGCATTGATACCGTCAGGGGTTAACAATGACAAATTTGTCATTATTAACCCCTGATACCGTGTACCCGGGTATATCAACTAGCACCTGCGAGCACGAATGATCATCGCTGTGTTGTGCCTATGTGCCATTCTTCGCGATCCTAAATTATTAAGCTCGCGTTTACTGAGCCATGTCCGTTTTTACGGAGTTTCTTTACGGCGCAATCTCGTTAGGTGTGGATAACTACTCAACGTCTACCTTTTACAGTACACGATGTAACCGTAGTTTCCAATGAAAAGTGCAATTTACTAAATGAAGTTCATCGTTCAGTCAACCGAACGATCTGACATTGAACTTAACACGGAAATTGACTTTGGAGAAAACCGGGATCTACAGCTTAATTTAGCGAGAGGAAACCGTAGAAAATTGCTACGCATACGGCATTAGCGGCATCTCTTCCCCTAGTTATGATGCTATGTTCTAGATTTGTCGCCGCTTCATCCCCCTCTCTTCTTTTCCCACTTTCTCCTCTATTATTCTCTCAACCCCTCTCTTTCTGTCTCTATTATATCCCACTCTGTTACTTGCTCTATCTCTCCCACGCCATCAATATAGAAGCAGTGATGCCATTTCTTGCCCCTTCCATGCAGCGCCACCTAAGTAACACATCGCCACTGCTTTCATTGGTGCTGGTGCATGGGCACCGAAACCTTTTTGGTCAAGGTGTAGGCTATGACTAGAATGGGTTATCACACGTTACCACGCTCGGCTCATGCCGAGACGCGACTTAAACGAACTATTTTAGACGCGGGTTTAAACGCGATTTTAGACGAACTAAAAGGTTTCCATACAGCATCGGGAAATTTCATAAATATGTGATTTTTCCCAAAAAAATCCGCCGGGAAAACGCCAAGGTCAGCACCTGGCATTCATGGCTATGGTAACGAAATGCCGCCAACTTTCTTTCTCCAGCGAGAGTGGGTTGAGTGCCCATCGCGTGTGAGCAACAGAGAATTTACGTTCGGCTAGCTATACTCAACGTTGTGTGCTGAACCTGTTAATACCTATATATCTTACGAGATCAACAAATCATTTTACACTGCTACACGCACATGCATACACACACGCGCGCGCACACACGCACTATATATATATGCATGAGCTTGTGTGTGTGCGTGTGCGCGTGCGTGTGTGTGTGAGTGTGAATAGAAGATAGCGAGAGCAAGATACAGCGAAAAGGGGAGATGTAGAGAGAGAGTATGGGTGGAAAAAAGGGAAGGAAGCGAGGGAGGAAAAGGAGAGAAGCGAAGAATAGAAGAGGCAATAGGGAAAGAATTGAGTTGTTTCATCATTGTCATTTTCTTTGTATTGCCTATATGACACAACGACCAGCCCTTTTCCAAACACAGATTCATCGAGCAACCTTCTCATCGGGCCACACAGCTCATGATGTTTATCCTACCTATCCATAAAGAAAGGCCGGGCTGCAGCGTTGTTAACTCGTGTCTTATGAATACCACCGTAACACTGCAGCACTTTCTAATGCAATTCCACTGAAATACGTGTCTGCACTCTCGGCAGAAGGCGCCTCATGGTGAGCTACCAGGCTAATATAAACACCGTCAACGCACTCTTTACTGCAACGCACACCGTCAACGTTACTGCAACGTCCCACGACGTACTAGTAACGCGTATCTCATTGCTTACTCACTCTCTCTCTCATCTCTCGCTACGTCGATTGCTCGCCCGATCTCCCAACATGCCCCCCCCCCACACGCACATGGAGAAAGAAAGCGGCGTGGGCGATAGAGAGATGCGATGCCGAGAAAGAGAGCAGAGCAGAGGAGATGGATAGATGAGCAGCGACGGGGAGAGAGAGCGAGAAAGAGAGAGAGAGAGATGACGCTGCACTTCGAGACGACGAGCGAGGTGAGAGAGAGAGAGAGCCAGAGAGCAGCAGACAGACCGACGAGACAGACAGACAGACACGCGGGAGCGTCTGAGAGAGCAGAGCAGAGAGACGAGAGACGGACGAGAGCAGAAGAGAGACAGCACAGACAGACAGAGCGCCAAAGCCAGAGAAAGAGAGACGAGCACGCAATCGACGGCAGAGTAGAGCAGAGACTGAGAGAGAGAGAGAACGCAGACAGCACAGAACAGACAGACAGCCAGAGAGCCAGCGAGAGAGCGAGAGATTATGAGCAGACGAGAGAGAGAGGCATGAGAGCAGAGAGAGGCAGAGGAGACGAGATGAGAGCAGAGCAGAGACGCAGAAGAGACAGCACAGACAGAGAGCAGAGCGACGGAGAGCGAACCGACCGAGAGCAGAGAGAGAGCAGAGCCAGAGAGAGAGAGAGACGACGAGAGAGCCCAGCAGAGAGGAGCCAGAGCACAGACACGACAGCGCCAGCGCCACGCGGCGCCGCCACCCCCCACACACAAACAACACGCTGCGTTAAACACGTACATATAGACAAATAAAAACGTGATTTATTAATACTGTATGCGAACGCGTACACATATAGTAATTAGGCCATTTTCTTATACCGCCGCTTCCTCTTGCGTTATTAATCAACACCCCGCATATATGATGTAGATGTCAATGATACGACCTTCACCTGATGAAGTTCACCTGCAATCAGCCGGCCACAGGAGGCAACCTCGTATAATCCCTTCCGCAAAGCCAGGTTCCTGCCCTTCACTGCCGAGCCCTGTAAACGAGCCTAGCCATAAAATTAAATTATTAGTAATTTTATTCAGCCATTTCTTGGTCGTATTACTGTCATTTTCAAATCATTCATTAGTCTGCCCGAAATTACTACACGCCCCATTCAAATTATACAATAGCCGCGTTTCATCAAAGCATTAGCACACTTAGCCAAGATCGTTCGTATTTACAAGATTCCTTCGTCGCCTAATTTAATGTTGGGGTAATACGCCTTAAACTGCAGCCGTGAGCACTTGCCATCGCCGTCAGCTGTCCTCCAGCGCAGCTCTTCGTTGGTTATCGCAAGAGCGCATGACGCCAACAGGCCAATCTTACGCTTCTGTTAGCGCTTACTTTTGTGTTTTTCTTACAGTCCGCAATATATTTCGTTCGCGCTTTCTCCACTTGAAGCATAACCAACAATCATTTGTGAGTGGTCTGGAGAATAGCTGCTGTATTTGTAGGTAAAAATAATACTGCGATATACGCACGAAGGACAAATCGCCTTACGCGCCCTTCGGAAACGCTTCTCATCTGCGATTTTGAGGCTTTTGAGACCTCAATTAACACAACCTATGAGATACGGCCATGATTTAATTGCTAATAGTGAATGCCCTTCCTCACTGCCGACTAAGAGTCTGCTGTTAGCAAATCATTTCATTATACCAGTCCGCCCCTCCTTTATCCGCGCCATCCGTTATCCGGAATATCTCTATTAATCTCGCGCGACTCTCCGCGATCTCGCAGTGTAATGTTCTATGATTTTTTTTCATTCATTTCCATCCTAAAAATCTACGCTCAAATCGTCGCTCAAAACTGTTCCGCGATTAGCATGCCATTCATTACGCGGCGATATACACCATTAATTATCGTAGAGCGCACAGCCTATCACTCATGCCCTACAAAACAACACGCCCTAAATACCGTAGCCAGAAAACGCCCATGTACGCTGTACATGCCTCATAATATATACGAATATTTCATACTCACTCTGTTGATGCTGTAAAAACTACCAAAGAGATAAAAGCATCGCTATACATGTATACTATATGACATGAACAAAAAATGCTGTGGGCTGCGCTGGCCCGTGCGTGCCCGTGCTGCTTGTGTGCTGTGTGTGTGAAGGGCCGCCATATGTTCGTCACTCAACGCCAAAGGAAACCCCGCATATCCCCTCAATTCCGGCAGTCATCCACCTGTCAGTCACGCAGAGTCCGCTGTTCGTCGCCTATGCCCTCCTCCAAACAACTTTTACTATCGCGACGTTAGTGCAACGCGCCTTACCTCGCCTATGCACTCGCGATCGGATCGCAGCCCCGCTACTTCAATCAGACAGCGCGCCGCTAGCCCGCGCACATGTAACATGCCCTAGCGCCCATACACCGAGCCGCCAGCTGCTATTTGATCGTTTACAGGCCCTAGCATCTCAGCACAAAAAGGCGAACAAACATAAACCGAAGCTTGGTAAAATTTGCTGCTTTTTATTTTCATTTTATTTTCCATTT